AAGTCACGGGACCGCCACCGGGATACAATGGTCTTCGTGTCTTTGCGACGTCAAAACATGTCGAGAAGTAGTCGGGTGGGCGAGCATGGAGTGGCGCTCACTGATGGAGGCGTGCTCAGGTACGTTACCATACCGGGGCGCTTGGACAACCTCAAGCACACTTTACGTATATTATCGTAAATCTGTGCGTTTACTTCGAAAGCATCCTCAAAAGCGTATGTTCCGGCCACAAAGGCATCATCCCTCAAGAACGACTATGTATTGCAATGATATCTTTTCTTGCTTCTCAGCTCAAAATTCTCAGAAAGCTTTGCAGAAAAACGCAATACTCTAGCACAAATACATGATAATATAAGCAACGCATCTGTCCTATAGCAAAGCTTATGGGTGACAGAAACATAGTTTTGAGGCTAAAAAGTGTGCGAACTTTAGACATGAGATTATGACATTGAGATTCGGTTGAAATCGGGACAGGGTAAATGGGTTTTTGAGCTTCGAATAACACATTTATCGTGAAAGCTTGCTGCTTCTCAAATAATTTGATAAAAGCTCATCGTAGTTTTTGAACCACAGAAAACAAAAATTATTGCAGAGCATTAGATCCAAAAGCATTTTGAGTTATCTGAGGGTAATCTGCACAGAGTGCAGCATGTCGCGAAAATCCCCGGTTGCTTGACAGCAGTTTTATAAAAAAAATATTCAACTGCGAAAGACGCAGCTTTCAATGAAAATGTTTTGCTTGAGGTGTCCATAAAATTACATCGCGAAATTGTTTTTTAGAGCCGTATTCTTCAGTCTTTTTTAGATTAACGTATTCTCCATCTTGTGCTGCGCATACCGTTTTCGGCTATGCTCTCACACATAGCACTAATAGTTCCGCCATTCTCCCAAAACCCTGCCATTGAGATAGGGGCTGTTGAACCGCACTTTAGTGCATAAATTTTTCTGACGAGCTTGCTATACAACTCTTCTATAAACCATAACTTGCTTATTACTTCGTGCTGTAGATATGCGAAAATGTTCACAAAAATTACCTGTCATTACTCGTCAAGGAATCTATAGAAAACTTCGAAAAATATAGCAACACCTGGAGCACGTCATGAAGTAGGAAGCCCATGTACACGAAGTGATTATTAGTAGACGTCTTGAGCGGAAATGTGTCTGCACATATTGGATAGAAGTTTGAAATAAGAGTACATCCATATTGAGTCAATAAAGCTATTACCATTGGCTTGTATAGCCATTACCATTATTGAAAACGAGCATGTGGCAGCTTCTGCTTGGCTAAATCAAAGTACGGATATTTCTTTTGACTCAGCTCCTTATAAAAATAATAAGAGCGCGTTAAATTCAAATGTGTCTGGCAACAATCAGTGTGTCTAGCATTATGAAGAAGCACAAGAGTTGAGTCCAGAATGCTGTAAAATAAAGTTGGAATAGAACTTTTTAACTGTGAAACCAGAGTATGTCATTATTGGAAAATGAGAGAGCTCGCAACTCTAAATGGAGACAGTTTTGAATGCAATCTGAGCTCATGATAACCTCATAAGAAAAAAAGGCTGCACACCATCCAAACATTAAAGCATAAGTTGTGTTTCATCATGAAGAGTTTGAAAGAGCTGAACAAAGCAGGAGACGGATAGCACTTGCGATAAGTCGAAAGAAGGCGCAGCTCGAGAGAAACGCGTTGTGCAATGAAGAACGCTTATTCCCGGATGGATCACCAATCGAGGAAACTTTACCTTATGGTTATCTGGGACCATCAACATGAACAATGACATAATGGAGGAATCAGCCGAAGACGGAAAGCCGCATGATTACAGTAAAAATGCATAGATAGGTAGCTACGCTAATAGCGAGCAAGAAAATATACTGACAAAACGCAACGGCACGACAATATGCTGATACCTTCAACTGTTGATGGTACATAAATTTGAGCGCAGTTTCGCAGCAGAGCGTTTTGGTCCTGCTATCAGATCATCTTATACATAAAGCTGAATGTCTGTTTGTCTGTCTGTGTGTGTGTGTCTGTACGTATGTTCCGAATAGAAAATTCCATTTCTCAACCGATCCGGACCAAACTTGGCACACATACACTTCGGGGCAGGGCGGGTGTCATAGGCTGCTTTTGGTCATCGATCGATATCGATTTATCGATTTTTTGCAAAATTTGAGCTACAGGGCTGGGAGTTGGCACAGGGGGGTAATCGAACATGCTGATTACAAATATTTTATTGACAGGCCCGGGCGGAGCCGGGTTTGCCAACTAGTCATCAATGAAAAGCTGTGTCTAAATGATGCATGTGGCTATGCAAGATTTGACTACATTTGGTGCTTTCCAGACAGCGCAAAATTTCTCGCATTTCTAGCAACAAGGGAGGTCAAGAAGTCGAAGTGGCTGATCATTACAAACTGCATATAATTAATGAGAGCTTGGAGCACTGATTCCAGATCTGCTCTCCCTGTCTGCAGCGCCTCTGGAAAAGAAGTTATGAGCATTTTTTTGAAGCTAAAATGGATTGTTGGAGGGAGGCAATCAATCGTTACGGCCTTCTTCTAGACGTCAAATGGAGAAACAGGGGTACTGATGTACTAGAAGCAGGGAGTACTGATATACTAGGAGAAATGTTTATTGTATGAAGTATTCTGACACTTGCCGCTGCTCCATTTGATGTCTGGAGAAGCCGTAGCAATCGGTTTATCCCGGCCAATGATTCATTGTTTTGCTTCAAAAATGCTCATAACTTCTTTTCCAGAGGCACTCTGCAGATGGGGAAAGCAGATTTAAATCAGGTTTTAAGCTCTCATCAATGCTATGCGGTTTGTGACGATAGGCCGCTACGCTTCATGGTCCTCCATTGTAAGTCTTCTATACATGTACTCTAAATGTGCACTTTATCCTTGGCTGTAGTGCATTACTTGACGAAAGGCCTACTTCCAAATACAGTTAATCGAACAGTGGTCTCTGATCACTCATAACAACTCAGATGGAAATTTCATTTGAGTATATATCAAAAATGCCGATCTTTGTCCACAGAAAACTTTACTTCGCATTTCAAAGTCGAAGCACACTAGCGTTTTCATTCTGCTAACCATAAACATACGCTGGTTGGTGTAACAGGGTTGGGGGAAAGTCTTTGGACACGGTTATATCGGAGTCACGAAACTAGGCAACATATTCACATGAAATAAATATGTATATAATGTTTATCGAACAGCTATTATATAAAAGCAAATTTACATTTCAAAGATCCTCCTTTAGCGCGAACACAGGCTCGAAGACGCCTAAGAATGGTCCACGGTGGCACGAAGGTACTCAACGTCAATTTTCTCCCACGCATTCTGAAGAGCACTTCGCAGGGACCCCACAGTCCTGTGTGGGTGAAGTGCAGACTTTGGCCTCAAGAACTGACCATACGCTGCAGTCGAGGGGTTTGAAATTCGGCGAATACGGAGTCTATTTTGTAGGAGTAATGAAGTTCTTAACGTTGCTTTGAAACAACGCCTGAACAAATATCGCCTTGTGAGCAGGTGCGCTGTCCTGCTGGAAGCACCAATCTCTACCGACAAAATGGTTACTGGTTGCAGGGTAGCAGTTTTTTCTCCAGGATGCTATCAATACGCAGCAGCGCCTACCTTGATGACCTGAGGCACAAAAATTAGCGGCGTCTTGCCGTCGGAAGTGATTGCCGCCCAAACCTCACAAAGCCGGATGAAGCTTACTTTCCACAAGTCGACCTTTGCTGTTTGCTTCTTCTAGAGACTTGAATAAGATCCTGCTGTTTTGGCGATTGAAAACCTGCTCCATGGTAAAAATTCTCTCCAGGGTACGCCATCAAATGACGATCGTTTGATGGCGTGCCTTGGAGAAGCGTTCAAGCAATCGGCGACACCTGTGAAGTCGGGTCAGCTTCATTGTCTTGGAGTGTGTGCGTTTTCTACATCCGGTACAGATCCCAAGGTTTACTTTCACAATGTCCGAGATGGTCCTACACTGATGGACAGTTCTGATGTCAGCTCATTCAAGCTCCTCTATGCGTTATCGGATGATCCTCCGGTTCGCGGAAGTGTCCGCGATGACTGGTCTATCGTCCCTAGGATGGTCCTGGGTGCTGCTTGTCTCCTTGAAACGGAGCAGGTACCATACCGTGTTCCGAGGAATGCCGAGTATTCGAGCGATCTGCTCTTGTGACTTCCCTTCCATGTGCATTTCACGACCAGCTCGCTCTCTAATTGAAAAGGCATAAGTCCGGTAAGGCTGAGGATATCAATCCAATTTTTAAAGGGCTTTCATAGAACAGTTCAGAGATCATTTACACTAAAGATAAGATATGATATGATAAGACAATGTAGCACCCAAATGTTGTTTAACTTCCCCCCAAGCCTGTAGATATCTCGCTGACGCCAGAGCAACCCAACTGATCTTTTCATTGTGCGAAGTTTCGTGCCCTCTGTTCTATCTTATCATGTAAACGAATTTACTTTTTCTAATACTACAACAACTTGAATTTTAAACCTGTAAAAAAACACTAACTATTAACACGTTGAGACCAAAGCCTTTCTCGGACCAGCCAACATTTTTCAGATAAAATCATATAATCATATAAATGATATAATCATCTACAGTACACTTACAGTAGCGTTGGGATGCTGGCAAAAACAGTGAAGGTTTCAAGTAGATCCAGCATGAAAGAAAGCTCCCAGAGTTGGTTTGACACAAATAAGTAACCATTCCAATGAGGGTCATGGTGTGTCAAGCCTTGACACACCATGTGTGTCAATGTGTTAAACTAATTTAGGTTCCAAAGTGGAGCATGTAACAACTGTGAAGTGAATTAAACTTGAATGTATGGGCAAAGTCGAGCCGCATGTTAGTAGTTTAAGCACGTTAGTTGATAATCTCTCCAAACCTTGTTTATAAGTTAACGTATGTGTCTGCATAAATTGTTTCACAACTCATTTCAACAATATAAACCCCGTTGCTTATGTAGGAGATTTATGACAGCATAGCTTTATTCAAGTGACATAAAGATATACAAGAATTCACAACCCGTACATAGACCGTAAATGTTCATCTAAGGATTCCGAATCGAGTTCCGATCAAGACCTTTCTCGCTCTGAAGTTATACAGTAATTATATGTATATTGAGTAGTCGCAACAATCAATTCACCGACCTCAAATGACTTCAACACTTTCTCTCCCATTCTGCTGAGGAAATAAAAGAAAAGAAAAGCTATAGCAATGATGCCCGCTCCGATAAAGACTGAAAGCAGAATATTGACTCCAAATTTACTTGATTAACATCCAAGACTTACTTAGGTAGAGTGGAGGTGATGTAATGAGGAAACCTATTACAGATAGAGCTTCTAATATGTATACAAAGCATGCCAACACCTAGAATTGCGCTGTCTATGGTGCTTCATTTACGGGTTAATAAGCCCAGTTACCTGTCTATGGAAATGCGAACCCAAAAAGCTTCCAAATGGGGCCATCGTGCAGGCTACTGGGATCGTAACCTTGAGATATTCTATTGTGAGATCGGTTACGTTTCCATACCAGATAAAGCGGCAGTAAAAGCCAACCATTGAATTTATGCCTAGATTTAGAAAAATAAGGATGGCACATATATATCGATAAGATTACCCATTAGTACAACAGTCGTTGGTGTTGCTGTCTTCTCAGAAATTCTGAACAATAGCGTAGTAACAGAGAAAACACAGATATCAGCTCCAGAACCGGCAAATGAGGTGAAAATGCCTGAAAAATTTTATGCGCAATAAAAATTTGTAGTGAAGACAAATCTCGATCAGCGAGGGGATATGAGAATTCTGTCAAGATAAAAATTTATTTTGACATCTTAGAATTCAACCTTGATTTAAAGCCGGAGAAGTAAGAATTCCAATTTTTGTCGTCAGAAGACATGACAAAATCAAATGCACTTCTTTTTCCACAATGATTCGCAAATGCTCGTCTTTCCACAGAAAAAAATTATTTTAGCAAGTCTGCTCATAGTTCTTGTTCACTATTTTGGCTTACCTCCAACAAATCCAGTTAAAACCAGCACTGCAGCTTTCCATGGTTTGAAATCGGGAATACTAGCATAAGTTACCCTCTTCTTATGGGAATTCAGGAGAAACAATGCAGCAGCAAATGATGCCCATATTGAGACAAAAAGCATTTTCTTTTGAGCCGCGTCAAACATGTCGTCTACCTAAGGAATAGTCTATGGTAACTATTGTAATAAATCATGTGTTTTTTTATTATCCATCAACTTGGATGGTAGCGCATGTAGAATCAAGGTCATTTGGTTGTGTAACTTACGAATGCAAATCCAAGACACATTCCTGGGATAGATCCCATGCACCCAAATAATAAACCACGCTCTTCAATTTTTACTCTCATGAAAAGCACAACGAAGAGAGCGCAACCCATACCTTAATTGTAAATTGTAGTAAAGCGAAAATTTTGTTTGCTTAGCACTCTACACTCACCAAAACTTTGGATCATTAACGAAAAGTCTCGAGCTGATATAGGGTCAATATGCAGGAGTAACGTCATCACGGGAAATGCCACAGCTCCACCTCCTTCCGAGGTCATACCTGCAATCATAGTTGGAGCAGATTTTAGACCGAAATGTGTTTAAACGGTAAAAAGTCTTCTGGATTGAGTAAATTGCACGATTATATTTTAGCTTGATAAATTAGGATAGTTCAATTCTTGTTTCAGGCGAATTCACATTCTCAGCAGTCATTTATTGTAATTAGGTTTCATTTAGTATAGTGATAAAGAATGATTAATAATAAGTACAAATATCGGTACAGTAATCAAACTGGTGTTTTCAAACCTGAGTGTTGTTTTAAATCATTTTTATTGTATAGAGTGATGCTTTTACATCCGTTATGTTCAGGTTTCCTTTTTGAGAATGATTATTGCTTATACTTTCTGATTTATAAGAGACGCACTTTACAAGCAAAAATAGATTAATTAATAAATAAAATCGCTTGCCATAAATTTCTGGGTTCGTTATGGTTGAAAATCCCGTATTTTCAAACGTGGGCACTTCGTTTCCTTTTGGAATGAGATCGCATAGTTAGAGCAAACAGACAGTCACGAGAGAGTGTGGAGATTTTAGAGTGTACGCACGCCTGTTAGCTGCAGTATGCCCTATGACAATTTCAAAAAACTCTCTCAGTACAAAAATGAATTCCTGCGGTTAAGAGGTTCGTCGGAAAAAAAACGGTAAAGGTCGAATTTTCCATAAGCTACTGGTGACAAAGCGCTAGGCCAAGTAAGTCGGTTGTACTAAACCTCACTGGCAATAAAAGTTACACGATTTCTTTTGAATTTTTGCTTATATATATTTAAATTTCCCAATTTTTGTAAAATCCAACTGCGCACAAAACCACGACAATTTCGTTCTCTGCTCGTGTCTCTTTATCACCAGCTAATTAGCCAATGATCACTTGCAAATTAGTGTGACCAACCGGCAACTGTGGATCCAATGACCATGACCGCTGGCATCTGCCACCGATATGCAAAGAGCGGAAGCCAGTTATAGCGATAAGCTGTCAGCCACCAAAATATCTAAAAAAGTAACCGGGCTGTTGATGAGTCCGATAATTATCCGATAATTATCTCCAAAGAAATTGGCTTACATGTACAAGTATCACAGGTAGACAAAATGCGATGTATTTCCTCTTTGTAATCAAAAATCTTTCGACGAAATCGGCATCATCAGGAACATGCTGGTCTGTTGGATCGGACATTTGTTGACCTAGAATTTTATGATACGAAAACAATAACAGAATGTAGTAAAACAAACCAGCCATGAAATACTTTCTGAAGAACGATTTCTTTGCCAGTTTTGGAGGATCTGAAAATCAACAGCTAGGTTTGTTTGAATTTTGATAATATTCTAAGAATGCAAGCAAACCTGAGATGTTTGGTTGAATTGAGCCATTAACTGTTTTAGAGGGATATATTCCTACCATTGTTCCCGTCCGTTTGCCCTTGTTTAGAAGCCAGAAAGGCAAATTTCGGCTAAAGTAATTTTTTGTACGTTAAAGGACAGCGAAAAGCTCAGCAGGCCAAGATACGAAATACAGTATCATATATAACGCTAGTCAACTCTATAATTCGTGGTTCTGCTTTAGAAGGGTAGACGTTTGAAATTAACTTAATGGTCACAGTAAATAAAAACTAACTTGAGTTGAATCCAAATCAAGTTCGTACTCAAGTTTTTTTTCTTATAAAGGTGAACCATTACGCGCAATACAATGTGATTATTTATTTGCATCCATAGAAAATGTACCAATGAGCGAGAAGTACAAATTGAGAAGTAACCATGTTGATGGACCTTACAGGGGCAGAATAGGCTCCGCCCATTGGCACGCCCCTCTCTTGGGTCTGTCGCAGGAAATTCCAATAATTTCACAGAAAAAAGACTATCAGACAACCTTTAGAGTGTAATGAGCACCTGACGCACTCAGGAGAGACGGAAAGGCGCGATTTCTTCTCCTAACTAGCGCAAAGGCCCATTATAAGCTGCGCAAATATACATATGTTAAATAAGATGGTTAGCTCAATACCTCGAGTTTATTGATTGCTGAGTTTAACGGCTTTTGATGCGATGTTGGCTAAACTCTCTACGAATTTCTTGCTAATTCCCTTTTCAGGGAATCAACTCGCATTTGTGTTTCTCACCTTTCTCGAGATAATAGAACCGAGAAACCCAACCAACTACTCAGACAGTCGAAGGGATACCTATAGAGTGCAAATGGCGGGGGTCTACCACTTCGTGCTTTGGAGCCCTCCCATTTCACCGATTTTCCCTCCCCGGGGCTCTCAAATCTCTGCTCCGGGGGTGCGCCAGATATGGAGCAGCCGCGGAGCACCAAAATGGCTGAAATGAGAGGGCTCCGGAGCACGAGTGGCAAACCCCTGCTGGGTAGAGCCCGCGACCCTCCCTCGATTTGTCTGAGATGGATTAGAAATTGAAATGCCTTTTCTCCAGCTGGCAATGTAAATCGCGCCTCTTAACATACACCCATTCAAGTACACAGCAGACAGATGAACCAGTTCCAGATAAACATTTGATATTGACTCTTTTGTATTGTTTTTCTAGACGCGCCATTCTCATCAACGTCTCTGATATTTCTCGGTTCTACAACTAACGTCTGCTCCAACGTAGCAAAAGGTTCCACTTATGTTTTGCGCAGCAGCTGTAAAGAAGTTCCAGACGACTCGCAACAACCATAAAAAGCGAACGAGTCTAGTTTACAAGATTTATGATATGCAAGAGCAAGTTGTGGTAAGAAAACATATAGCAAATTTACACATTAAACTGATATTAGGTCGAGTACATTATTTTATCAAAATACAGCTGTGTGGTCTCTCAGGGTTGATCTATCGTCGAGTGAACACCATGCACCTTTTCTCAATTTTTTTTGGAATACGAGAGATTTGCAAAATAGGATAAGCGTCTAGCAGTTGAACTCCTGTAATTTGTGAATACACTCACAGAACTATGTGTCAGAACTCCAAACAGCGATTAGTCCTATTCTCAAGAAAGACTAAGAATTTTCTAGATGGTGCAAATGGAAAGTACCATCAAGCAAGATCGTCTACCTAGGTTCAGAACATTCAACGCAGAAGTTAGAAGTAAAAAGCAAGAGACATCTTCAAATGAGTTACTTTTCCAGCATAACCTAGCATTTTTCTTTTGAGAGTTTCGAAGTTACCATTGAGATACTGATAGAAATTCTGCAGAAGTCAATAACCAAGGAAATCATTTTCATAAGAAATAATTCGAAAAGTCAGAGTAGTTGAGTAGTTGAGCTTGCTTAGGTAATTTTGATATCAGGCATCACTGCATCTGAATTTGTACATCACAAACAGATAATATTTCTATCTATAAACAGCAAAGAAAACTAATAATTTAATCGTGGCTAAATTAGCATCGACACCACACATACAAAATTACAAAGTTCCCTTTGGAAAGCTTGCGAGCCTTCAAACTGAGCCACGGATTCACCTAAACTATGGCTACTTTTTCCAACACAGCGCCGCGCAATAAGGTTTGATAAGTGCATGAGATGATCTCGGATTTTATCCTCTACTATAGTTTTAGAGTGGATTACAGTAAGAATGCGCAGAAGTGCGGGTCAATAGTGCGAATGAAAAATATAATATGTAAACAATGAGATGACGGAGGATTCTATTGACAGCAATCTTGAATACAAAGCAATCGGTTTAAAATAGCAAATGGCATTCACCCAGTCTTTTGCAAGAAATGATTCGGAAAAAACTCTGCAATCAGCACTGATAGGGATTGACAAGATAGGTGTACGACAATAAAAACTGGAAACGGCTTGTTCGATCTGCTCCTTAGACGAAAAACAAGTCAGTCTCCTGCACTCTTTATATACAAACAGTCATGATTAGCGGTCGGTCACGAAAACGACGCAATCCTTGACCCATAAATGAAAGGTTCAAACTTTTACGAGCCGAGTAATCGGCTCAGTTTACTGCAAAACACTGATCTGTTTGGTTTACGAATAAAACTTCATAAATAACATCAGTTTGGGAATGACAAGCGGTGACCGGACAAATAAGTTTGAGGGTAGGTCAAAGGTCATGTGAGAGCATCAATTTAAAAGTAAATTGTGACCATCTCATGACCCTGATTCATATCCTAAAGATTTATAAATAATCTATAATGGCCTTTTTTCAATTGTGTACACATTTACAGTTAGTCTCTATGAACTCTTTCAATACTTCATTGATTTCCATATTGATAGCATTATTCATTTCATTCATTTTCATTTTCATTTGTACGCTCAAGGCGTTCCATAAAAAAAAAAGACACATCAAGAAGTTAGTAATACAGCGGAAACGAACAAGACATGTATTCGAGTGAAATTCTTGAAAAACTCAATCCTCAAATTTCCAATATTAGAAGATATTCGTGATCTGCATTGAATGAACTGACATAAATCAAACAATAAAGTGCAGCCGGGTTCAACTTGGTTTGACCTACATAGTTCTATTTACATGATCTTGCGCTTTTTCGTCTTTTTTTCTCTTTCTCATTTCAGAGACTTTTTGCTTACTCCTCGGCAGAACTAAAAAAATCTTGTGATATACAGAGTGCCCCCAAAAATGTCTCTACTGTTTGATTGTTAATAACTCTCTTGTCATTGAGTCTTTTGAGAATCTTTATGTACCATTTTGTAGGATTGATCTGGCATTAACTCAGATTTATGGTATGGAGCAAATTACTTCTCTCTACGTTGCTCTAGGGTTACGGTTAGAACTTTGAAGAGCGTTTTGCTTCATTGGGGGTCATATTTCACCTCTTAAAAATGATTCAAAAAGTTCAAAACTCTCACACTATGTCGATCAGGGCCGCTGATTCCATATGAAACCGCACTTAATATAATTCTTATATCATAATTTATGCCAGATATTGATTAGGCCATTCAGTAAGTTCTACGAACGTGCAAAAAGTTATGTAGTGAAATCAGCATACATAAAAACCTTGTTACACAAATCAGATTTTTTTTTGAAAAATTTTTTTTCGAACGGCCAGCTCACAGTGGCACCATATGCTCCGAGTTCCTGTAATATTACAGTGGGATTATGGGATTCAGGTGGTTAAAGGCACCGTCCACCCGAAGATAGAAGTCTTGAGTCTTTGGCAGCTTGCGGTAATGGGACCCTCTATCAAGCCAATGCCCAAGTCGTGGCGCAAAATGTAGCTTCGTAAGCGAGAAAATCGCTTCGGAACAGCGAAAATGCATGAGAACCCCAAGTCGGCACCACCCTCTCAAGTAATACCCGCCTATCCGTGCGCGTCCATCCAATCACCGTTCCGGAGAACCGGCCTAGAAGTTCTCCGAAACGGAATTCGTCGGGGTTTTCGCGGATTCTGGACTTCATATTCGGAACAGGGACATGAGAATGCCTTTAACGAGCAAAACATGAAAGTCGAGAATTGGAGTGAACGGTGTCTCTAAAGAGCAAATAGCTCTATCACAGGTAGTTTCACTAATGAATGCGTTTGTTTAATAGTTGTAGTTGTAGTTGTTTTAATGCCGACGACATATCTTTGTTCTTGTACTCAAGAATTCCGGTAATTGGATTTGTTCTAGAAGTGGAAAACATGAGATTTATCCAACATCAGCTTTCAAAAGGGGAAAACACCTACTTAGTCCCGGCTACCCTCCAAAAAAATGAATATTCACATGGAGCTGAGCAAGTCATTATCATAAATTTGGAGGATAGTTCTCCTTGGAACCTTTATACTTTTACCGAAAACCCCAACAACAGTGTTTTTTGTATCTCATATCGAACATATTTGTCGGGGAAGTGAGTGAATGTTTAATATACCAAAAATAGAAATAGGTAACAATAGATGAGTCAATTATTTGTTTAAAGAGAGTTACTCTAATAGACCTAACAGTAAGTTCAAGACAACCATACAACAAAAGCAAAAGTACTGATCCCGAAAATGAAAGGGTGGAAAGATGAAAAGTAATTTGCGGAAATGAAGTGATCAGGAACTACAGAAATCTGGTTTTTCTGGTAAGGTCATTAGGATTACGGTAGTCTACGGTGACTCAGTAAAGTGCTCAATTGACAAAAAGAATGGAACTTTTTAAATTTCTATTAGGGTACGGTCCGGAAGTTTAGTTTTTCTTGCTTGAATACACTTTAATTCAAAAAATATGGTTATTGCATTGGTAGCGAGAAATTACCATTTGATTCAACTAGCCTGGCTTCGGGAAGGCAGGGCTTCGCGATCTAATCAAGGCTAGGTAATGATCAGAGAGCTTTCGCGCGAGGGAGACGCATGTGCGTCGCGGGCGGGCCTTAATTAGATCACTAAACCCCGCCTTCCCGAAGCCAAGCCAGTTAAACCAAAGGTTACAATGTAATTCAGCATGGTCACTTTATCACTTGAACGATCAAAAAAGCTGTGAGTTTGAAAAAATGGTTTTCTCCTACTGGTATATTTCTATTTCAGTATCGCAAAACCCTTAGTGCTTTTTGTTCACGTATGTGTTCGGAAACTTTACGACAACTTCTCCTCTTGCTTGGCTCAGTCTCAAATAGCCGACATGTGGGACCACATTATATCTGGAAAATGTGGGATCACATCGGTTTAGCTTACTGGCATAAAAGGGGTTAAGAGGCTTACCTCAGGACAAGCGTGACATTAGGGTGATTCAGCAGGTTGCTACCATCGTCAAGGAAATAATATTTACTGTGAAGTCGGCGTTCATCTAACACAACCCGCTTGCTACGAAGTAAAATCTCGTCCCAAAGTGTCACTTGATTTACTTCCTGAACAATAAACATTTTTTTGAAGACTACATACTAGGACAGATACGAATGATTGGGTTAATTTCTTCCTAAATGCTGATTGAAGTCATTTAAGCCATTGTCGAAGCGGCAGCACATCTGTTTCATTCGTGGCCGAAGATTTACGTTCTTGCCCAGTATCGTACCCTTTTCCAAAGCGTCCAATTACGGTACGGTACTGGGCAAGAGTTTGAAGCTGAATTTTTCGGCCATAAGTGAAGCCTATGATCTTACGCAAGAGCCTTGGCGTAGGTGTGGCCTTTTAATTGGTGTCCAATTAAAAACCTGGTACGAAAGGTTTTATAGTAATAGGATTGACTTTTACTTACATTATTCCGACTTGTGTACTCTGCGACAAGATATACATAAAGTTGCTTTACGTTCCAATTGTAAATCTTCGAAAAATCTCCATAAATAGAAAAATCCAGCAAACCCAAGTCACATTCGGTAGAAGTGTAGCGGCTCGTCGATCGTCTAGAAAAGTAACATTATGGACGAATCTACGAAGCTCGACTCACACTCTAGGATTATTGACAGTGATTTCTACAGCAGTGGAATAGTCCAGATTGTTGGTAGTAAGGATACAGGCGAATAGCAGAGCCGAGAGAGTCCATAAAGTAAAGGAAAATATTGCATTGAGTCTTACCAGTAACGAATACATTCTGAAACACGAAAAAAATGACTTTATAAGAGGGAGGGGTACTGTCGTTGTACTGTCGTTTATTACAGTAGGCCTGCTCAGTATACACTAGCGCTATCATCCAAGCATCTAATTTAACGATACTTTCTTTAAAAAGGCACAAATTATTATTAACCAGCATCCAAATTATTAGCTGGTTACCAGAAATAATTTCCTTTTCTTGTCCGTACCGGACGTTTCAAAAGAGAATGACATGAGTTTAATGAGGTATAGTCGGTACGCCTTTCTTCTCTATTACCACCCCCCCCCTCGGATTTGTGTTCGTGCAAAGTTTTGTTCTGGTTGGTGCCAGAAGTCTGGCAGGGTCTTCCAGACTTTGAAGGAGTTCGACGTGTCCGGTTTTGGCCGGATCTCTAGCTAAGAGCCGACCGCGTCAGGTTATACCACCGTCTGGCTTTTCTGATCGCTGCGCGGTCCTCGCTTCACATCCGGGGTTAGCGAGCGCCTGTAGAAATCATCAGCAAGGTCTAAGCTGTTTTGGTGAAGAAGGATTGGTATTAGGTTGTCCCATAAGTCTTTTCATACCTGACTTTACAACGATATAAATCAGTTCTTCTTGAACTCCTGATAAATTGCAGGGTACCATTCTACAGACCAAAGTAAGCTCTACAAGATGGTGTTCAAAAGTTCGCACCAAGTCCAATCCGAAACATGCTCCAAACCAAAATAAAAAATTTTCCCGAATTTCCGAAAGAACGAAAATCATCATATCTCAGTTCAAAACAGCTCTGCAAATTTCCTATTTTTTCATGCATATACTCTCCTTATCGGATATTTATAAATGCACTTGCTGCATTTTTCTGATGGCTAGAAACCAAGAAAAAAATAATGCGCTCAATTTTTAAACTTTGCCTGTATCACTTCTGTATTCCCCGCAAGTAGGTGATTATATAGCTTATTCGCTCAGAATTACTGTCAAAAAGCCAGCAGCCTACTAGGTGCTGTAGTTCCTGAGAAAAATCGAATTGAAGGTCCGAATATGAAAAAACTTATGGGACAACCTAATATTTATCCGTCCTTTTCCGTTATCCGGACCCCATTTTTTCAAACAAGGATATCGCTTTTTTTCCTTGTACCAAAATTGGTCAGAACTTCTTAGGATGGAGTTGCCAACCTCTTGCCATTCCATCTACATGTTCAACAGGTTTTATCAAGATTTTGTTTAGCCTACTTCCCAATGTAAGTTCAAGGGGATTCAATCAATAACAAACCTGTTTTGATTTAGTAGTTTCAAAAATGACACAACTATATAAAAATAACATCTTGTACTCAATGGACACATTGCATTTGCCTAACAGAGAAATAAATTGTTGTTTTAAGGCTAAGGGCATACCTCACGCGATTTCAGTCGCGCCGCGATTTGGCAATACTCCAATTGTGCATAACTCATTGTAAGGGGTTTCTAAATGTACGAAATATAGAGCATTTTATCAACTTACCAAAACTAAATATGCTGTGCATTTGGGGTCTGCCAGTATTGGATTTGAAGGTATCTGGCAAATTGCCAGATCGCGTGGAGACTGAAATCGCGTGAGGTGCCCTTAGCCTAAGATCTAAGCGACAGCAAGCGGCAGCCAGGTACTTCTGGCCATAATTTGTAATCTTTCCTGAAAGCATGGCGAAAACAATTCAGAGAGGTTAATATTTTTAAATCGTTGCTGAAAGCGTTCAAGATGCTTTGATAAACGTTATGGACTGTTTTGCTTTTATAAAGAAAAGCAAACTAGTTTTAAGTCATTTCCGATGCTCTCGTACTTCACCGGAAATAATTTTGAAAAAACATGTCAAACTGAGCCTAAACATGTCAGTTCTCATCTCGACACGTGGCAGGGAGACGTCCTCATAAAATCTATGAAAAAAAAAACTTCTAGTTTAAAGTACACATTCCATGAGAACATTTTGAAAAAAGGGGTCCAGACTCAGGGATTCGCGCCGTGCGGGCGGTCCTCATTAAAGCTCCTCCGCCTGAGCGCACTGCATAGTTTTTGATGTACCGTGCGTGCGGTCAACAATAAAAATGCCGTGCAAGCACAAGACAGTCTACCCGTTCGATCGGCACGCAATAAAATCGACCGTGCAAGCGGCAGGCAATGCATCCGCACGGTCGGCCAGCAATCACTTGATCGTACAAGCGGCAGGCAATCTCGCCGCGCATTCGGTACGCAATAAAACCGACCGTGCAAGCGGCAGGCAATGTGTCCGTTCGATCGGGCGCCAAACATCTGCCCGTGCAAGCGGCCAACAGTGACCTCTACCTTCGGCTCATTGTTTTCACACACTGTGAGCGTAAACGGTACCTGCATGAGATACGACGCAGCGTTTAGGCTGGCTAAGCGTCGACTATCGTGTTATCAACATTTCCCTTCACCGCAAAGCTGGAATGAACCGTGAGGCTACAGTTATCAAGAATGATGTGTGGGCTTCTCCATGGAAAGTTTGGGTAGTGCGGCAGGCATTAGTCCGTGTTCGCAGGGTGTGAAAATGCTTAACATACCTAAAAAAATGGTTAAAATACCCCATATAAACCTACTCCAGCAGCAAGCGAGCGGCCGACCTTCTCCGCGCAAGCGGCGAGCATTAGAAACCGTGCGGGCGCCCCACGTTAACCGTGCTAACGGCCCTTGACGACTGTACAATCGCACACACCAACGAGCGATTGTAAGTTCGTCGCTGGCCGTCCGCACGGTGCGAGTCTCTGAGGATGACGGGAAAGTACCGAATTATTTTATGACTCGTTCAGCGAGAAGAGAAAGAATCCTCGCACACCGAATCACGCCTACGGTGCTGAGCGGTAACAAAAACGGTGTCAGGGTCTGAGGACGCCATTCCAGACAGAAGCGACACGTCTGCGATGACAAGACATGGCTGTCTGCTCTGCACCCACAACTACAAAACAATTTCCACAAATTTTTCCATGATCTATTCCACTCCGAACAGCATTCAAGTATCACATCATAGCTCTGCAGGAAATGAAGACAGGAGGAATGACGTGCGACAGGTGAGTAATGGGGTCCTCATCGCTTGTGGCGGGAAAGTTCCTTCACGAAACGTTGAAGGTGTTAGCTTTTGACTTTGTCGTCCACCCATCTATCGTCCATCTTGTCGATTTACATAAGTTCCCATCATTTCGGCTAGCCATCCTACGACTACGACCCTAACGCCAAAGGCCGTTAGAATTATGCATTATGAACTACTACTCCCCAACATCAGCCGCTAACAAGTCAGCACCCTTTCTTCGAAGGCATAGAGGAGGTTGTACGCATCAAGTCCTTTACTTGTTGTGAGCGAGTTCAGCGCGATAACCTGGATGCCACTGGAAGAGGAATATAAGATAGGGAAATTTGGGTATGGGCTCCGGAACGAAACCGGCGATTGTATCGTTGAATTTCTTTCTGCCGCACGACATTTCCTTGAAATTCAACCTTCATGAAGAAAGAACGTCGCCGGGGACATGGGAAGCGCTTAACGGAATGACTCACGCGGAGTTCGTCATTATCATCAGTTGCAGCTTGCTTGAAGTCTCAGTAGTTCCATCATTCTGCAGTGGCCTCCTTCCAACGCGAAGGTTCGATTCAGTCGAAAGCTGGAAAAGACGTTCCACAATGCCTCAAGATGGAAGGAAGTCGATGGTCCCAGGCCGGAGGAGCTCATATCAAGTTGTTGCTGGCCTATCGAGAAAGACTGAGCGCAAGGATTATACCTGCTGAAGTGCGCACTGCGATCCAGACCATGAAGGCGTCTACGGCTTCAGAACTAGACCTCTTTCCGTTGAATCTCTGTGAGCCCAATGACAACGTCAAAATTTCGTGTGAAACTTTTTCGCTTATCTAAGCATATTTTTGCCGCTGATTCCATGCAGTTAGGATAACACGGAAATGTCGAAGGTCTTCACCAGAACCCCTTAATTTCAAGTTTGAATCCAAGAAGCTGAGATTGAAATGCAGAGTCGTCTTTGTGGAACCCTATGTCTTCACTGTGTGCGATAAACGCACTTCGGCTTATCAATTTTGGGCGTGTAAGTAGTCAGTTCCAAAGCGGCTTCAGAAGCAAATTGGTGCATTGCCACCTGAACAGAGCCTTATCGCGATGGGCGTTTTTGCACCCTACGTTTCTAAATCTACCCGACGCTGCCTACAAGAAGGGCAAAGTGTAGGATCTTCGGAAATGCCTTCCAATATGTCTGCTGAGTGTCCTGTACAAGCTTTTCACGGAGATTATTCTCGTCATACTGGGACACAGGATAAAGCCCAGTCCCAAGAACAAGCAAGAATTCGCAAAAGATTTAAGTGCATGGATCACATCCAGATTTGTTTCAAGGTCATAGAAGTCGGAAGAAGGTTAACACGCGCGATTTCTATGTAGGATACCACGAAAGTATAGTACTTTATGCGTGCATTCAAAATATCCCGAAGAACACTCCCACTCCGTTTTACTAGCTTTGTTTGATGCTGCCACTTGCTGGATTTGACGGATTTTGATGAAAAACTGAGTGAAGTGGTTGAAAATTTGATTTGATTGCTTTTTTCAAGGATCTTCGACCTTCAACACCCATGTTTCAAATGTTTCTAAATGCTCAGTATAATTACAACAAATAATTTTTTGCTGCAATTAGACTGAACAACCCATACGGGTATCTATGATAGTATATCTTCCTACAAATTTGAAATGCGTCTAAAGCCTTGTAAAACACAGACTTATACTATTTGATACCCTGCTGATAAAAAGCGCATCTCTTAAGTTACTACTATAAAAGACTGCCGGAAATGCCGACTGTTTCCTTCCTAATCTTCGTCGATACGAAAAAGCCCTTGGACAGTGTCTCCAACACCGTTCTGTAAGGGCTAGTCAATCAAGGACCTAGCTTACGTGAGGAGGTTGGCCGACAAGGACTGTACAACAACGACTCAGCGGTTCCATCGTCACTTGACCATCCCAGTTGGAAGCGGTCTAACAAAGTGACACTATTTCG